GCGCGATAATTCAGGGGTCTCGGCCCTGCGCCGAGGCGCTCGGCGCTCTTCCTGTCCTCGTGAGAGTAATGCCGACCGAAAAAAGCGTCCTGTTTTCTCCCTCGCCTTCGTCTCCGTACTTTTTCTGCCCCGTCCTTTCTCTTTCTCTCTATCTATCTATCTATCTATCTCTATCCCCCTCCTCTCTCTCTCTCTCTCTCTCATTCGCTTCACTCGCGCTGTTCTATTAAAGTGCGATCTTGCGAATCTCGATGCGGCCGAATGTTCGACGGTCCGTCCGCAGCAGGTCGCATCGCCGCTGTCATGAATGAGGATGGAGGGCGGTTTTATGCGGTCATAAGGAGGGCGGCGATACGGATAAACGACGCGGCGGGTAACGAATGATGTCTCCGTGATATTTCAACCGTCTTCTCCCTTTCTTCTTTTTTCCCTTTCGCACCCTTCTTCTGTCTCCGCTCTCGCGCAACCCTCCTCCCCGCGACGCTCGCTTCCGGGGTCAAGATTCACGAGGACGAGGGGGGAGGAGGACGATGGCGACGGAGGAGCCGGGCCGGGCGAGAAAAGAAAAGCGACAAAGGAAAAGGCAGCGCCGTGGCGCGCGTGGGAAGCGAAAGATAAATTGCGGGCGTAGATGTGCCGCCATAAAGAGCGCGCTGACCGGTCCATGACGCTCCCGCGGCGACTCCATGTTTAAGCAGCAAATCGCGCATCGGAGATTCGTGAACGAACGGCCGCGCTTTTACACAGCCGCGTTAGTGAAGACGAATTGGATTCTTATTCGATCACTTTTCATTAATATTGAATCGCGCGACGCGCGCCGATGCGTCTCTACGCCGCGACTTTCGATCCGTCGGCGTTCGCCTCGGTTTTCTCTTATTCGTTAATCACTCGAACACACGATAGATAATAGCTGCGCGATGCAATTGAGTTGTTAAGACTTTCCGGTTACTATTCTTCGCACATTATCGATTTATCGTTTCTTGATTATTCGAAGAACAGCGGGTTTATCGCTTGTGCCTCGTGTCGTCGTTTCCGTAATATTCGGCTCCGTTCGTTCCCTCCGTCAAGTTAGCTTGATTATTTCGCGAACGAGAGTTTTACTTGACACGAGGGGGAGAGGAGGAGGGGAAATATTACCTACCGTAACTTTTGTATCGTTACTTCCGGATCTTGGCGCGATCGATGCCGGGTCTCTAAACAACCGGGAACTTTCCGTAGCCGTACAGTCGCGCGGAAATTTGCGCGCGCGTAAATTCGTACAGAACTATCTGCTGTAATCTAAAGCCTTACATAGCTGAAACTTCCGAATCTCTCCGCGATTCGGCGAAAGTTTGACTGCATCTAAGAATGGTCCGCGCGCCAATTAATCCGCGAAATACATTTTCGACGTTTGCACTTCATTAAACGCGCGATCGCGCGATTAATGAGATATACGAGATACCGCGGCGCGAATTGCGGCCAAGTTTCGCGGGGTTAATTGAGCTGTTAATTCTGAAAGTGGCGCAAGTCGAGTCCCGAAGCGCGGCGGATTAAGACGCGACGCGGTGTCGCGAATTGATGATACACTTATTTTAATGAAAGTCTTCGAAACGCACTCGCGTCCCGCGGTGTAAAATCAATCGGCCACAATTTAGCGACGCACATTCCGCTCGCGCACGCACAAACAACACGACAACATCGTTGTTTCGCTGTTGAACGAATTCAGCGGCGAGTTCGCGCAGTGTTTTTAATCCCTTCTCACGGACGAGTCGCGAGCCACGGAATGCGCGACGATGAAGTCGCACGTACGCGCGAAATTGAAACTCGGAATGAAACAAGAACAGAAGGTATTACAGTATTTATAGGTATTAGGTATAGGTATAGCCTCCCTTAATATCCACGCTATAGTAAGTGATACATTTGAAAGGTGGAGTCATGGATTTGGTTAGTAGATTTGTTACAACGCATTGATTTTCCAGCATTTCGAGACGTTTTCAAGGTACATTCGTATTATCATACGAATATATGTGTATTTGAGTGTTTCGTTGAATTATTTCACGCTTTACGTTGCTGCGCATTTCGAATAATGCAAAATTCATTTTGAATAAATATAGAAATTTGTAGCAAAACACCGGCATTTCAGTGAACGAGGCCAATTTTTTCAGTCTATTTTAATACATTACCGCTCTTGTTTTTCTCCGAACCATTACCCAGCATTTTTATAAATAACGTCCTAAGTGAGAAATATTTCATAACTTTGGGCCTGGAATCGGCTAAACAGCACCGTGACGAGTGCAGCCGTTCAGTTCTTAATCGAAAATATTGATTGTCGCGAAAGTTACCGCACCGCAACGTAAACGAGGGAGATAATATTACCCTTTCCACTGATATTCGTCGTTTGAGCGGCGCGTTCTAACAAAACTTCACGGTCGGGCGGGAAGGTGTATAGAACGGGATCCTGGGAACAGTCGAAAGCTCCAAGCGCATTTGAAACAATTACCGCACGATTAATGCAATCAGACGCGGGAAATACGAAGTAACGTACACACATACCTCGTATATATTATGTTGCGGAATTTCGCGCGGTTAACCGCGCGAGCGCCGCTTTAAACGTCGCTCGTCGATGTAATACGTTCGATTGATTGAAGAATGAAATACTTGAGAGATGAAGCTCATAACGGGACCCGGGCCGCGCTATTGTGTGTTGAAATATCGACTCATTTCAAACTACAATCGCGGGAGTGGCACAAAGCGCCGGGCGCGCTGTTATACGCGAGATAGCCCTCCGACGCTATATGTGTACCGATATAACGACTTACCGTTTTTGTCATACCTTTATATTCTCCGCTCTACTCTTACACGTCGTGTCCGCGTGTCGAAACTAATCGCCTCTTCTTATCCGAGATTCACCATCGACATTACGCGACGGGTCTCCTGCACGGGGATCGCCCAGGAATCGTCGGTGACGAATTAAAATCAGTGCTCCTTTCCCCGACGACGCTCTCTCATGCGCTCGATAAAATAACACCGGTAGATAACGTCGCGAGCGGCCGGACCGAATGATTTCGGGCAGTCGTAAGTTACTTTCCTTACGTATGAATCTTTTCCAATTCTAACGGTATATTAACCGCGACACGATCTAACGCGTACGCTAAATTAAAAAGGAAAGATCGATCATACCGAAGGTGAGATACTGAAATTGAAGGTTAAGGTCAGCACTATTTGTATGTATCACGAGAAAGCGATTTTCGATATCGCGCGTTCAATTCTTACTTTAACGGTAGATTCGCACGACTGTCGGGAGTCACAAGAGCACTTTCCGCGCGACGTTAATTACAGACTGCTATTTTCGATACACGGCTTTGACGCAGTTCAGCCATTCGCGCGCTCGGAGCGGCCCCCGGGTATCGGGTATATTATGCCGATTTGGCCAGCTTTGTGCGCGCACAATGCTACTGTTATGCCGCCGAAACGCGGTCCTGGGCAAACGATCGGCGTGATTATACATCGCTACGCGATTCTATAGCGGTTCTGCGCGACCTGCAGGCGGCACAGTTCGTATCGGGAGCACCTGCGAAAAAGGGGTGAACTCGGGGGTGCAAAGGAACGACGAAGGCGCGTGCTTTTGCGCCGCGCAGCGGCGGTGTAAGCAGCGATTACGCGGCTAACCCGGCCGAATCTCTGTTCGCAATAGGGGAGGCAAGTAGAACACATTGACATTTTTTAACCCTTCGGCCACATCATGGATTCGGGTGGTTGCTAAATCCAATAAGGTCAAAATTACCGGATATTTCCTCTTTGGTAACGAAACCTAACCGGGCAAGTTCGGACGGAAATAGTAATCATGAAAATTGATTAAATGTAACATTTAATTCGAAATTACACCGCAAATATTCTCTCCCGAACAGTTTTAAAAACGGAGTTTGATTGAATAGAATAATAAACTACTGTTTAGTATAAAACACATTTTTCATTGTCGAACACAAAATTAAACCGTGCCTTACATATACGACGTTTAACATTCGTTATAAACATTTTGTTAAAACATTTAGATCTACCGATCAGATCTGTGACTGAGAAGATGGCGCGCAGGGTCAATATGACCCTGTTTGCGGTGCGAGCGACGTTTTAGAAGTGTGCGGTCGAAGGGTTAAAAGAGACAAAAACTGGAACGTGTACGATCTCGCCCTTCCGCTCCCTCGCTTTATCGCGTTTTTTTACAAAAATTGTTTCATTGCTGATCGAGGTCGCGAGTGTGAGTCGCCGTGAAACCGAGAGCGACCCGGGTATTATTAACCCTGAAGCGATCGCGTGGTCGACGCGTGTCCGACCAGCTTTCCCCTCCGACACTTCGCTCCGATGATGAAACCCGTGATCTAAGCCGGCCGAGGAGATTTCATACATCGCGTGTCTCGGTAAAAATATGTCAGCGCTGTCGCTCCTCGCCGAGGGTCGATGGAGGTGCTCGGTCGGGGGTGCGAATCGAACGGGGAGCGTGCGGAGATTCGCAAGACCGCGACTTTAGGCCGAAAAGGGGCAAATTTGAAAGGACGGTGCGAAGCATAGGAATAGCACAGCCGGTAAGCGGGAGGTCTGATCGTTCGGTGCGTAACGAGAGAGCTGAGACACGCCGGGGTCGACGTGGTCACGCGGCCGTCTGAGGGAGCTCGGCGCACGTCGACAATCGTCCTAATGCCGGCCGAACGATGACACGTAACAAACCGCATTCAAGAAAAAACTTTCGACCGACCGACAAATTGAATCCGAAGGGCTCGAAATTGCCCGGTAGAGCCCCTTCCCGTGCCCTTCCCGCGGGAAGGATGTCTGGAATAAGATCACGCGCGGCCTTCCAGCTCGTGTGGATGCGTGCCGAGGGGTGCGGGGCCGCNATCTCCAGGAGGGAGAGAAGGAAGGATGGAAAGAAAGAGAGGGAGGAGAGGGGGGAGGCTGTAGCGGGAACGGGATAACCCGGGTCTCGCGCGAGACGGAGGAAGAGCGAAGGAGCGAAGAGCGGCGAAGGAGGGCGAGAAGGAGAAGCCAGCGGAGGGGAGAAGCGGCGAGAGATCGTCGGCGCGGTTTGGTGGGGATGAAAGGGCGGCCGACGCAAGCGCGACTCGCGACAGAACGGCTTCGCGCGGCGACGCTCAGTCTCGTCCGTCGCAATCCAGTGCAGATATACGTGCAATTACCTTGTCAACAGTGCTTAAAATCCCCCGTTCGTGCTCTCGTGGCCGCGCTCTCTCGTTGGCACGCGGTGATCGATAACGCGCAACGCGCCGCCGTCGATCGCGATTACCGTCTCGCGACGCGATCGTCCGAAGGAGGGAATAATAGAAGAAAAAAAACAGATAAACAAGGAGGAGGAAGGAAAAGACACGCGCGGAAAAACGCACGGCCCGCGAAGGAGAGGTGGGCAAAGGGGTAGCGGCGAGAGAAGAGAGAGAGGAAGCACGGGGGGTGTACGGTTCGAGGAGGCGCGCGGACATAAATCCGAGCGGTTTCCGGCGATTTTGAATCGGGCGCTCTCTCTCTTTCTTTCGGTGCGTCGCGTGAGAAGCGAGCAGGGAGCGGCGAAAAGTTTGACACGGTGAACGGCGTGTCCCGGTGGCGCGTCTCATTCCGGCAACGTGCGTCGAGTGGCAACGTCGAGTGTGTCTCGGCGATCCAGCGGGTGTGCGACGGCGACAAAGACGACGTCTCTCGTCGAAGCGGTGACAGTAAGCGACGAGACAAAAGAGCGCCGGTAACGGGCGGCAGATGTGGTGCCGGGTAGTTCTGCGTAGTTCCGTTTGCGCGACCTAACTGAGCCGCGAGTGTACCAGTGTGTCAGCGCGCGTGAGTGAGCCCGGAAGCCGATCGTGAGGAAGCAGGATTCACCCCGAGGACTCCGCTATCGAGATGAAGACTCGCCACCTGTGGCTAGAAGCGGCCGTCGCTCTCCTCGCGATGACAGGTAAGCGGTCGCGTGCGAGCCGTCCATCGGCCCCGAGATTCACCTCGGATGTCCTCGAGGAGAGCGGAAAACGTGGGTCGCCGCGCGAGTGGACGGGGGTGGGCGTAATCGCGCGTGACGCCGCGTCGCAGTGAAGAAGCGATCTTCTTCTTTCTTTTCGTCGCTCGACGTGCACACGGTGCGCGTCTCACGATGCTCGTTATCGCCCTCCCGGCGTGAAACATCGACCGATTTTTTTCTTCTCCCCGCTGGAATTATGCGACCCGGTGGGATGTTAAACGTCTAAATAACGTTACGTTATCTCGCATCGCGCGGACGTCCTTGGGGCGTGGGATTAAAATAAATTTCACGGAACGATAAGAACTTTCCTCCGCGCCGGCGAGATGAATTTCTTTTAAACGAGTTCTGTAAATGCGCCTCGTTAATGCGGCTCTATCGGGAGCGGGGCGACGTGGAATCTGTACGTACTTGAAATCGCCGTGTGAGTTTCACCGGCAATCCAGCAATAGCATCGGCGATCCCCCGTTAAAACGGGTGTTAAACGCGAAGTAAGTTTTCCCTTCCGTTGCACACATGGTAAATACTTTCCGATAAGTAGCGCGCGTCGTATATTTTCCGAATATACGCCGTTGCAATCGCGCTTAATTTTACACCGACTCGTACATCTCGGTGGATAAGGATATATCATTTTCCCCGGACGAGAACGTTGGGAAGCGCGATGCTTGAGCTTTCCCGGTAAACCTAAAATAAACCGCCATTTCGGAAGTTAAACTTTCAAGTTCGCAAATAAGCAGGAGGGCCGCATTCTTCATGCAACTCCCGGCGCAATTTATTAACCGCGGCCTCATATTCTCGACGAGCCGAACGCAAAGACGGCAGATGGAAAAACCGGCGCCGCCGACCTTCCGACATTTTCCCGCTAACGAAAGGAAACCGTCGGTCGGGACATTCGACAAAGAGAATGTCGTTAAAATTTCACGTCACGAAGACGCCCGTTCTCCTGTATATCCCACCGTCTCTCTCTCTCTCTCACTCTCACAATAGACGGCGTAATAAATATTTTCTTCCTATCTTTCCGCCGGGGCGGCGGCATCTCGCCAAGACGCCGCGGCGCTTCGCGCTTCCGGCTGAGGAAGCTCAGCTGGCGGGACGAGAAACAACGGCGACTAATGCGCGCGTAAAGCGCGGAAAGTCTCCCCTCGCGAAGCGAGCCACCCCCGCTGTGTTTCTCACCTCCCCCCGTCGGCCCCCCGCCGCCGTCGTTTCGGCGCGTGGACAAAGGAAACGCGCGACGATGTGTCCGCGACTGGACGAGCACGTCCGCGTTCCGCGAGCGAACCGCGTCTCTCGTGGCTTTTACGACGAAGCTTTCACGGGAAGGTGGTGGCAGCGAGAAGACGGCAGGTCCAGTGAGCCACAATAGAGACTTCCCTCCCGTCTGAGCCATTATCGCATCACGCGAGAGCTCTCGCTCGCTTCATCGCGTTAAACGACAGGATTAATAAAGTTACGCTGCATTTTGCGGATCCCTCCGGTTTAGCTCGGCACGCCGAGAGCGAAATCCCGCGCACGGAGCGGGAAACGGGCTTCCTCTGCGATATCAAGCGCGAGATCGTTCCGATTTTAACGGAAGTTAACGCCACCCTCTCAAGCACGTGCCACACTACGCACTGCGGATTGGATTCGGATCGCGAACTGCGAATTGTTGACCGGCCGAGATCTTCGGCCACTTCAATCGGATTGGCCGGTGATTTACAGTTCGCAATCCGAATCCAATCTGCAATGCGTAGTGTGACACGGGCTTTAACGCGAGACGCCGCGCTAATTTCCATTGATCGTGCAAATATCCAACTGACGTTCGCGTCGTTGAAGATGCAGTAAATAAATGTAATTCAGGGCACGTGTGTCTCTTATCTCGTTTCATCGGCTCTTTATTGAACGCACGAATCAATAGCATTTTATAGATGCATTCAACGTGTTAAAGATATCATTCGATATTTTTTTCCCAACGGAGACCGAGGTTGATATTGGACGCTTTTCGTTCAACGACACAAGTTGACGCATCACTTTGTCTTTGTTATCATATTTAGCGAGTGAAAAAAGATAAGACGATGCTCGTGTCGATTTATGTCACTAAATACGGGGAAAGCACCCGTTATTGGCCGGATTCGGATCGCGCTGCACGGTCTTTTGATTTCCCAGCACCTTTTTGTCCCCGAGAAACGCATCGATGCTCGGCCGTTACCTTCCTGTTACAATTCCTGGAGCGATCGCCGATCTGTCTAAATCTAACTCGACAGCACCGAATTCTCGACACCATGGTGTGTTTCAAATTGACGTTCTTTTTTCCCCCCCTCTCTTTAACCCTGGAGTAGTCACGCGGTTGACAGGTGTCATCCATGTGCACTCGAATTCATCTTCCGAAAAATACCAACAAACATTCATCTTGTCCCTCCGTGTATTTGTCAATTAGGAGCTACTCTCGTCCGTTTCAAGTATGATCTTTTACGATCGTTGTTTCTATATAAAAAAAAAATATATATATATATTACTTTCTCGAGCCATTTTCTTACTGAAAATGTCAATTCGAAATGGAGGGCACCTGTCATCCGCGCGACCACTTGCGTTGCATTCAGATACGCGACCATTCGGGGTTAATTCACGGGCGAAATTTGCACTCGTGCTTTTTAACGCGCGGGGCAGTCGTTGCGTAAAGCAACGCGAGGTGACGCAAATTGGCCCAGCGCGAGGCTGGATCACGAGATCGCTTTTCCTTAGTCCTCCATTACCGCTCTACTTGCCGTTCTTACCGTTCTTGTAACTGAGTTCACGGTGCGTTTCACGCGGCTGCAGAATCATCCGCCGCCACGCGATAATCCGCGACGTAACGAACACAATAAGATCTCGCTCGCGCCTCGAGTCTCTCCGTTTTTACGGGGAACTTTCATCGGTGGGGTCAATTAGCAAGATGCTCGATAACGAACGCCAAACGGACGCGCCACCGTCGAGTTTCCGCCAAACGGGAAATCGATGGGACGGGTGATTTAAACGACGGTATATTAAAAGTATGCCGCGCGTGCACGCACGGTGATCCCGCGGTAGCATTTTCCACGCATTTTTGCGCCCTATCGCGCGCGATCTTTTATTCATCCCCCGGCGAAATGTGATCGCGCGCCGGAAATACGCAGCCGATAGCTTCCGGCCTTTTCGTTCGCTCGCTCGCTCGCTCGCTCGTGCGCTAAGAAGAATACAAGTTCTCGGCCGGGCGTTTAATCGACGGCTCAATTTCGAGCGTTTAATTAAGGGTCCGCATCGCGCTTAATTCGAACGTCTCTATCGCCGCGTCGCGGACGATTTCTAGACGCTATCGGTGGCAGCTCCGGCTTCCCTTTGCGTGGAAATTCAAATGCGGAGGACGTTACCTGTACCCTCCCCGCGACGCTCCCTTTTCCCGCGCCACTCGTAGTAGCTTGATTACAGTCGCGAAACTCCATTGTCACTCCGGCGCAAACTCATTTGATTTCTCTCGCTTTTTCGACGATTGCTGTGTTTGCCGAATGGGAGGCGAGAACGGGCGAGAAGGTCGAGGGGTACACGGCAGGATGGATGTTTGGAAGAAGCGGCGAATTAACTACCACCACCGCCACTTCGCCGCTCTCGGAATAGTGATGAGTCCGATTTTTCGCTCGTGTTAGCAGCGCGGCTCATCGTCCTAATTTTCGTAGCCGCCAAATATGTCGATCGAGGAAACGCGCGATTCGTGTATACGCCATGTTTGCTCCGTTTAGTCGTACTTATTGCAGGGGGTGGGGGGCTTCCAATTTTATGCCGTCGCGGCAAAATCTGTCAGTTACTATATGGACAGCGAAACGATTTGCCGAGTGTATTAATTGCCATTCGCTGAACACATTTTGCTGAATCTACAAATTGTTTGTTTGTTTTTGTTCCTTTTGCTGTAAGAACCAATTAGTGAATGCAGGAAAACACTGTTTTGTTCTAACGGCGAATTAACGTGTCGTAAGGGCAAATTCGCTCAGCAGAATTTTTTACATTCCGGCGACAAGACTGTTTCCGCTCTAATTATGAGTAATTCGCTAATATGGTTATGTCGACTAAACTTTATCGCTGTCGCGACGTGTGTGCAGTAGCAACGATGTGGTTTCGCCGCACTTCGCTAATCCACTTAATTGACTCGAACTAAATCCCCGTTTGGATACGGGCGAACAAATGTTTTGGTTATGAGAACCAAAGTTTGATATTCGGAAAAAGGTTTGGTTTTTCGAAACGAAAATAAAAACGATTCCGAGGACCGAACTTTCGTTTTTACAATCAAAAATAATTCTCCGTCCGTCCGAATAAGAATTTAGCCAACTAAATAATTTTCTCAATGTATAACAGCGAAATAATTTTTCGCCGTGTATATCAATCTGTGACGATCATAAATAGATTCTCAAATGATGCAACTTATACCTGCATCTCGTTTTGAGAGAAGCACTGCGACCTGAATCAGAATCGCGCAACGGTTAAGAGAGAAGTGAAGTGTATTAGTTCCTATCATTGATCTAATTCCGACAAGTAGAGAGCTTGCGTCCTTCCTCCCCCTCTCTTTCTCCCCAAGGAAAAATAATTTCCCTTGTGAACGTTCGAAGGAGATAGCATACTTTATATAATTTTATCTCCGGGCTGTGCGAGAGACGGGGAAACGATCGACGGGGGAACGATCGACGTGCTTCTGCGATCTGCGGGGAAAGGCGTTTCAACCTTTTGCGTAAAGATAATTTCTAATGTACGTAAGGGAATCACTTGGCGGCCGCTGCAGCCGTTCGATCGAAAATTGCGTCCCTCGCTACAGTCACAGTCGCCTGTTGTAGTCGCGATGCCACGCAGCGGGCGCCGCGCTGTATTTCACCGCGCGCTCCGCACGCTAAATAAAGTAATTCGCACGGCTTTACGATGAGAATGTGAAAAATTCCCGGCTCGCGCAATTAGCGAGTTAAAAA